TAAAAGAAAAATAAATAATTATAGATGTGGGTTCTTGAATAAGTTTTAAAATAATCTGAATGACCAGATTTGGAAACAATATTTTTGCTCACATTTCTTCTATGTGTCATGTCCCTTCAGGACATTGGTGATCATAGCTCTCTACAATTTCTTGTCCTTTGTAGCTCTTAATAAACTGTCTTTTTGTTATCTCTCTGAAATCCTATTCTGACGTCCATTTACCCAAGATAAGTTATGCATCATTTTTACTGTCCCTTTTGCCTTCATTCTGTACTGTGAATATTAAATTTTCCAAGCCTTCTTTCCTTATGAAATTTCTACTTTCTTTATGATGCTAAGTATAAGTGTCCTTTGTTTCTATTTTCTCTAAAACTCTATTGTTGCTGACATGTCCAATCTATGGTATTCTCAGCATCCTTCTGTAGAATCACATTTCTGTTGCTTAAAGTCACTTCATCTTTGAAGAGATTGTCCAGCATTCACTGCCATATTTGACAGTTTTCTTTGTTTCTAATGAAATTTTTTCCTGTTTCTTAATATTTTGCTTAACTTAAGAAGGCATCTTTTACTATTACAATGTACCTTTGCATTTCAATATCACATTTTCCACCCCGTTAAAAGTTATATTCATTTGATTTTGTTATTCCCAATTTGTAAATTGCATCCAAGGCTATTCCTTTTGCAAACAATAATATATTCTGTCTTCTTGCAATTGATGTTTGGTCCTTTCTTCTCTACTTCCTTTAATACTTTCTGTAAGAGTTCTTGCAGTTTCCTTTCTCTATCTGCTATCAACACTGCCTCATCTGCATATCTTATGTTATCAAGATCAATTTGTACAGTAGTATTAATATAATTATTATTTATAAGATATAACAAATTGGATAATCCTCTACCAGTATAAACTTAAGTAAAAAAGTTTTTTTTTTTATAATAATAATAATAATAATAATAATAATAATAGGTACTTTTTAAAAATTTAAGAACTATTTTAATATATAACTAATATTGATATCTAAATCAATATCTATACAAGTGTATGTAATTGTTCCTTTTAAGGGTTTTCATTGTAGACTGGATTTTAAAAAGAAAATATTGTTATTCCATGAAACTGTAGTATTAAATCCCACAATTTTCATCTGCAGGATAAAAATACTCCAAAAACTGGAATTGACCCATACACTGGTCTATGAAATTTGTAGTCAACACAAGAAATTAATGTTGCAGATTTTTATAAATTTAATCATCATTTATGGCCTTTTCATAAATATTTGGGTGTTTTGCTGTAAAGTAACATAAACTAGTTTTGCTGACCATGGAAGTATATACTCCCAACATTGCTGATGATAAAAATTGTTAACTGAAGTCATGATAAAAAGAATAAAATTCAAAAGCATTTTCATTTAAATTATGCTTTATATTAGTCATTTTTAATGCCACTGTTCACCTAATACAAAGCCCAAGAGCCCTTCAAGGTAGAGGGTTACTGAATGAAGTTATTTTATAGATGTAGGAATTGTAGATTATGAGAATATTTAGGAGAAATAACAGTTTACCCTAGATTTAAAAAAGTTAGGGATTGTTGTAGTTGAAGAGAATCCTCTTGGGAGCCTGTGCCACAAAGCTGTGGCTCTTGGAAAGAAGCTGTCCAAATGGAACTTCCTTCTTGCCAATGAAATACAAAGGTAATGGTTCACTATTGTGGATGAGGCATGGCAGAGCCTAACTATAAAGAGCTGAACTGGTGGAACTAGGAAATGTAGCTTGTCAGAACATTTTCTATGGAAATAGCCATAGAACAGCAAGAGGCTTGCAAATGTCTGTGGAGAAAGAGATTGTAGGGTGGAAAATAATTATTCAGCCACAAGGTCATATAAACACTATTGAATTGTATCAAGACTGGAAAGTGAGTATTAGGCAGCCCCAGCCCAAACATAACAGCAATGACTCCATTTTTGTTCTGATCTGACTCTTGTAAAGAAAGTATAAAAAGGAGGAATCATGTTCTTACTAGAGTGGTCTAAGAAAATAATCATTTTTCAGCATCTTTAGTGAGGGATCATGCATGCAAGTTTTGCTTGAAGTCATGTCTGAAATTGAGTCCCAGTAAAGGCTCAAAGCAAGAAAACTCTGAGAGTGCAACCATTCATTGTGATTGGTGATAGTTTAGGGTCAACTCAATAATGACAAAAATTTACTAATTTGGTTTTTGTGTTATTGAAAGTTACAAGCCAGTTTCCGTCCCATTTTGCTAACAGAGCTAGATCAGATGAGAGATCAGTTGCCAGGCACTCTGGTCATCTAGATTTTTGGAGGTGTATCCATAAATACCAGTTATATTTTCATAACTATTTACTAATGATTTGAGAATGTTCTTGGCAGATAGATTGTTAATATAAAACAGGAATGTAGAACTGAGAAGAGAGTCTTGTGGGTCATTTGCATTGAATTTATACACTCCAGAAACTTGGCTATTAACAACCTTCATAGATATATCTGATAGGAAGAATTTTGTAGAAAACTAACATGTGTGTACACCCACAGGCTAAGAGATTCACAGAGAAAGGTAGGTGTGTGTGTGTGTGTGTGTGTGTGTGTGTGTGTGTGTGTGTGTGTGAAAACAAGATCCTCAATGAAACTTGCTAATACATAGACTTAGCCAAAAGTTGTTTATTTTTAATTTTTCAGATTTAACTTTATTTAATAACATATTTACCATTTTGTTCCATTATCTTCTGCTATAATTCAACAAATTTCATCCTTTAAAAATGTCTTATCTTTCTCAGCTAAGTACAGTTCTAAATGACTTCCCGTATTCTATAAAACTGAATTATTCTTTTCATTAAAAGAATTCTCTAAAGACTGGAATAAATTGTAATTCTAAAAAAGGTACAAAATCTGCCATGTCAAATGATTTAAAACTTCCCAGACAAGTTGTAGCAAATTTTTATGGTCACCAAAAAACAGTCCAACATTATCCTGATAGAATATTTAAATAATTCTGAATGCTTTTTATCAATTATTGGTCTAATTGAGAATAATGATTGTTCAAAATATTTAGTTCTCTTCAAGTATAGGACTTTCTTGTATTTGTCCTGATATGAATTGGAATAATTATAATCAAATAAATTCTTAAATCTGCTGCTAGAAAAATTGGTTCAGTGATATACTAAACAATTTTTCTTGCTAAAATCATTTGTTTTTTAATCATTTCACCCCAAGCATGGTGATAAAACCACTTAGACACAATGGGTTATCAAAAATGACAGAATTAGAGGAAATTGGTGAGAAAATAACTGAAGCAAAAATGCCTAGTCAGGACCAATAACATTGGAGATTATATCAATCTTGCACCTTTATATGTGTAGTCTTCATCTGTGCATTGAATATTGTTGCAACATCTGGTCTAGTGATTCTACTATGTATATTCTTAAAATCCAAACAAGAATCTGCAATGTTATCAGCCCTGACCTGGCATCTTGACTTCAATTAATTTCCTACTGCCATAGCATATCTTTCCTGTATCTTTTTCTATAAACATTTTCATGGCAATTGTTCTAATGAGCTTTCCTCTATGCTACCATTACATCATGAATTTAAACATAGTACTAGATTGGTAGCTAGTTTTCAGCATTTTACTGTTGCAATAGTTAAACTTAAACAAAAGTTCTATTCTATTACTTTCATCTCTTGCATTTCACACCTGTGGAAATGTCTTCAGTCTTGTTTTCCTGTCAACTACAATCTTCATAAATCTAAATGCAACATCAATTGTCATCTGTCTTTTACAATCCTGTTCTTTTGTCTTTAATAACATTTTCTCTTGCATCTTAGTGATTTTATTGCCTTGCTTGATGTGAAATTTTTTTGAAAAAGTCCACTATAAACATCAGCTTCTTCAAGCAAAAACGGGAAAACAAATGGGAGGATTCTCCCAAACAACTGTTGGCATGAGACAGATGCATACTTTCACCCACATTGTTCAACCTATTTCTGGAGAGAATCATGAAAGAAGCCCTGAATGACCATGATCTTTCAATATTTATCAGTGGTAGACCTGTCCGTAACCTACATTTTGCAGGCAACATTGGCAGGTAGTAACAGCGTGCTCTAGAACTTGACCAACAAACGTTTTGAAAGAGCAGGAGCATATGGAATGGAGATCAGCTCCAAGAAATCCAAAGTAATGGTGAATAGCACAAACAGTAATACCTGTGTCAACATTACCATGAATGTGAATTCACTGGAGGAAGTGTCCAGTTTTAAATACTTGGAAGCAATCTTGTCTAAAGATAGTACATACAATTTTAAAATCTACACATGGATTGCTGCAGCCATCACAGTGATGGCCAAATTGACAAGAATATGGAGGAGCAAATTCAACTTTCAAACAAAGTACAAACTGTACAAATCGCTGGTAGTCTCCATTCTCCTATATGAATGTGAAACATGGACACAGTTGGCAGAAACAGAGAAAAGGATCTAAGCGTTTGAGAACAAATGCATGAGAAAACTCCTTGGTTCTTCTTTTGGGAATATAAAACCAATGAGTTTGTGCGAAAAAGGGTTGAAAGTTTTGTGGGCCACTAAGAACCTCTTCTTGCCAATGTCAAACGGAGAAAAATGATGTGGTTTGGACACATTACAAGGCATGACAGCCTATGCAAGATCATCATGCAAGGTACAGGTGAAGGTGGACATAGGAGAGAATGTCAATGCAAAAACTGGTTAGACAATGTCAAACAATGGACAGGTATGACTGTACCAGAATTGCTGATGGCTGCTATTGATAGACTGTTGTGGAGAGGATTCATTGTGGATTCTGCATTCAGATCCCCCCCCACTACAATTATAAAAGTCAAGAGGATGATGATGACAGTCAAAGTGTTCTTGAATGTAATTAGTCAACACAAAGCATTCCTAATACCATTTAATGATAAACATAGAACAAACCTTTTGGCCCAAACTGTATAAGACATTCCGTTTAAATATTTTCTTACCTGTATTGAATGAATCTGTTACAGTAGTACTTGCAGTAGTTGTGGTAGCAGTATTTGTAGTGGTGACAGTAATTGCAGCAGCTTTCTGGGACACAGCACCCTGCACAATGACAGAATTGTTTGGATTGTGTACAGAAAGAGTACTTGCAATAGGCTGTGTTAATACCTGAGTGGTGTAAGTGTTGGAGAATGAAGAAACATTCCTGGTTGTGATCACAGCATTTGTCGTATTATTTACAGGTAAGAAGGAGGCTTCTACAGTGACAGGGGTAGCAGTGGGCAATAGTGCAAGGGTCATCATTCGTGGATTTTCCTTTGGCAGGAATGTCCTCTGAAAGAATACAGGTTTCCTGGCACTACGCTGTAACTTTCTCCGGTACCCTGTAAGTCTGTACTGGTTCTGAAATGCAAAGAAATACAAATTAAGAAGAATTATAATATAATATTATATATTGCTCAAATATCCAAACTCTACTCTCTTTCTTCAAACTAGTTAAGTGCATTGAAAACTAGGTTTAATGATTTGGCACACAAATTTGCTAGTATCTCTGTTGATTATATGAACTTCATATGCTGGTATTAACACTTATATAGTTATTTTTTTTTTTTTTTTTTTAATAAAGTCACCCCAAACAAGGCAATAATACCACTAAGATGCAATGGGGCTACTGAGTGTGAAAGGGAATGAAAAATACTTTAGAAGGGACCAAAAACCCAATCCTAAACAGGAATCAAGGAATAAATATCTATACTACAAAAGACCTGATAGGTAGTGTGAACAGGATCAGAAGCAAACCTATCTACTCTTACTGAATTGTTATATCAAATCTGATTGTAACTAAATTCAGTACTAATCAATACTATATAATGACAGTCTGACACTATTATTACTGTACACTGCCTTATTAATATTTATTGTTTAAAAGCAATTTTTAGAATTTTAATAAGAAACCCAAAAATATGAAACTACATTTATAGATTTTTTTTTTCTTGAGAAATTACAACAAAAGTATTAAAACACTATTCTTGTCAATAAACAGTCTAATAAATAAATAATTTTTATCATTTTTGTTAATTCTTGAGAAAAAAAAAGTATGTGGTGAGAGCAAATGAAATAAATACCTGGAAAAGACATTTTTTTTTTTTTTTTCAAAATTTATAATTATAGTAACTTGTTATGTATTTAGTGAAATTTTTTTGTTCTCTTGGCTATAGAAATTTTTATAAAATTATGAATAAAAAACAATTTGTTTTCAGTTATTTCTTTATATGATAAATAATAAATATTGCATTGTAGTTGGTTAATATATTTTTATAAACTTGTAAATATAAAATTATTCTTGTAAATAATGAAATATTGCTTCCTTCAGCTACAAATGTTAAACTGTCTATGATACTATGTAATCATTAGTCTAAAATGACCCTAGGCTATAAAGTGTGCGATGAGTAAATTGTCGCCTTTTTATATTTTTTAATTTTGTGAATGTCATTTTTATTTTTTTTAATTTTGTTGACTTCACAGTATAGTAGGGTTAGTTGGGCACTATCTGTGAGCATTATGATGCAATTCACTGCCATAAATTTGGAAATGACATGCTGTACTGTTTGGCATTCACATCAGAAGCTCCAATACGAATGTTTCAGAGTGTTTGAGTGTCAATCTGAGGGCAGTGCAAAGGATTTGACAAAAGTTGGAGGAGTCTAAAGGTGATTATGAATGTATGGCACCTCAGAAAACTCATTCTGATAAGAAAAGAACTACCATATTTGTTCATGAGAACCGCAGACTCACCATGGAAGCCTACATCAAGTGCCTTGAGGATGTAGTGCTGCCCTGGGTCAAGAGGGTAGCTGCTGGAAGACCCTATGTCTGTCCACAGGACTTTGCACCATGCCACACAAGCAGCAGAACCCAATCATGGCCGTCAGACAATTTTTTGGCCACATCACCCATTATATCTAACCACTTAGGACTGCTCTCTAGACTGCAACTTCCTTGATTATTGTATGGGCTACAGTTGAGTGAGAGACCAACAAAACTTCTTATAACACCGAAGATGAACTGAAGGAAAGGATTATGGTAGTATTCACCAAGGAGACCATCCAGAAGAGATGCAGGAGATTCTGAAGGTATCTGGAGGCCGTGGTTAAAGCCAATGTTGATTTCATTGAATAAATTTACTCTTTAGTATTCAAGATATTTTTGTGTAATTTTGGTAAATATATCTGTTAAAATGAGAGGTCAGTGTTATTTTCATTTTTGCATAATTAAGACTATTTATCCATCGTACCCAGTATATAAATGAGATCAGGAAGGGTTGAGTGGAAGAAAGGAATAAAATCATCTCCAGCTTTTCCTCTTTAGTAAAGGCTTACTTGTACTGATTGGGGGGCTGGAGGGGGCATGTCCGTAATAGGTCAGGTCTAGTTGTGTTTACTACCTCCAGACATTCATTAATTTGTACATATATTTGAAATTCTGTAATATTTAATTTTTGATTCGTTTTTCGTCTTATTGTTTTTAAAGAGGATGTATACCTATGTTTTAAAGATTATGCAAATGCACTTGATAAGGTATATGACAAAGAAATGTTATAACTGCTGGTAAACTTGATTTATTTAAGGATATTTGAATGATACAGAACTTATACTGGAAGAAAACAGTCTGAAAATGACTTCAGTAAATACACAAAAATAGAAATCAGTCATAAGACAAGGATGAGTCTTCTTGCCAGACTTATTCAACATTTACAGTGAAGCAAACCTGAAATAATTAGAAGTCCCTCCAGGATTCATTATTGACATTCACAATCTTAACATCTGTTGTGAAGAGGTGATACTTGTTATTAACAAGTAAAACCCAAATACACAGCTTGCTGACTTTCCCTATTTTATATCATAAGGGTCATTATATGGTAGATTGTGATTAACATCTTTGCTAAGCCCCAAGTACTTTGTCATCAATCAATTTCCATTAAGGACTTAAGAGCTTCATTAAAATCCAATGAAAGGTCTTGTTTGGATCCTTGTTTCTCTCACAATGAAACTTTGTAAACCAATTTCATACTTGCTTTTCAGTTATGAACATGTTAACCATAAACAGTATATATATTTTTCTAGATGTCTTCAAAGTGTTGCTCTCTTGATTGAACTTCCCATAATCTTATGTAACAAATGCATTTTCAATTCCTCCATTTGTGAGATTGCGAAATTTATTCTTTAATTCACTAATGTTATCAATGTCATGTAAAAAACTAAGGAATTTATCATACTCTAAATTTATTCTCAACTGCTACTTATGATTAGTAGTTTGAATAATACATTTGTGATTAAAATTGGTTCCCAAAAATGTAAATTACTTAAGACTCAACCTACATATACTACAGTTCAAAAGTTTGAGGCCATGTCTGGCAATTTTTTAAGTTGACCTAAAAAGTAGTTGTTTTGTAAGAGAAAATTATTATATATGGATAAAACTAAAAGGGAGACATGATTTTTTTTATTAGAAGTTTTATCATGAGAAAAAAAAGCAGTTTATGATTAAATTTTACTCTTGTCAAAAGGATTACTGCAGCACAAAGTTTTGGCACTCAAAGTTTCTTAAAGTATAAGTTTGATAATTGATTCCATTCTTTTTTTCAATGACTCTAAGAGCTCATCTTGTGCTAATTCTGGGATGGATTCAAAGTTTTGAACTGTAGTATATTTGAGAAGGAATCCTTTCTTTATACATGTTTTATTGAATACAACAAAGAATATTTTGCATGAATAAGACTTACAAAATATTCCTTGCCACCATATTCAGTTAAACTCTTTCAGTATTTCATTTCCAAGATAAGTAATTGTCAATATTGTATTATTTCAAACTACCGTTCTCATCTTGGTTGATAAAAATGTTATTAGAGATGTTTCAACCAGAAACCTCTGGTCATCATCAGGTGTCGATAGATATTTATTCCCTGTGATATCAGTTATTGTTCATTTCTACTGAATTGGTGTGCATCGCAAAAATAAAAACATCACAAACAGATTTCTCATATCAGCCAATCAATGGATACGTGATGATGACCAGATGGTATTTGGTTGAAACATTGTGTCTATAACAACATCTACAAAGATGAAAACAATAGTTCAAAATAATACAAGAATATAAACTCTCTCTCACAAGTTTACCTGTAGTGGGGAAAAAAAAAAAAAAAAAAAAAAGGAAGAAAGAGAGAGAGGCAGAGAGACAATATAATTTTATAAGTGCATTATACCTATATTAAAAACTTTGACATTTTTTATTGACATTAACAATTGACTTTTTACCCATAATTTATAATACATCATTGGAAAAATAAAATGTCAACATCTTGAAAGTTTTTGTTAATTTGGATACAGCATATGCAAGCTAGACGGTAGTAGTGTATCATGTCTAAGTTTTAGATGGTAACACATACCACAATAAGGTTCAGTGTGTTTACAGAGTACAGTGCAAGCAGATGACAGGCCATTGACACACACACACACACACACACACACACACACACACACATTTCTCTTATTCAATTTGAACAGTATGAGAGGAATATGACTGCAGCCTTCCAAAAGGCTGGTTAGTCATTTCAGCCACACATGTTGAGTATGAAATGTCAGTGTTGGCAACAGTGATGAAATAAATATTTCTACACACAAAGATAAGATTCTTGATTGGTTAAATTGTACAGACATTCAAGGTCAGCATATTGTAAGAGCAACAGCAGTTAACCACACAATATCCACAGCCTAGATCTTAGTAAATGTATCCCCCCCAGGAGTGTCAACACATGAGCATTATTTACATGCACTAAGACTATGGACTCATGTGCTTCTAACCAGACTTCTATTTACACCCCATCGTCATTGTGTATATTTCTAACGCTCTGACTGTATAGTGCTTTACAGTGTACAGTGATAAGAGGAGGTTCTATGTTTAGATGATGTGATGGTTACTTGCATGTGCATCATGAATCTATGGAGCAACTATACTTCACAGAGTAGATTTGCCTACAATACATGGTCCCCAATCATTGGCATCAATAGTGTAGGTCACATAAGTTATAACCCTTTCACAGATGTGGTATTTTTTAGAAGGAATGTTTAATAGTACAATGTACCTCCAGAAAATGGTTCAACCCATTCTTCTGCCATTCCTCAACAATAAGGCAATGTACTATTCCAGAAGGATGATAAATGCAACATGATGCCCTCTACTATACAACATACACGGCAATATATTCAACAACTTCTCTAGACAACACTTAACATATATACAATAATACTTGACTCATTCAAGTCAATCTAACTTCTTGTTGTTATCAAGAAGTGAAAGGCTTCTAACAATGTATTGCCATCTGTAAAACAATATGCATGAAAGAATAGTGTGTGTGTGTCTCTTGTTTTAAAAGAAAGCACCAACCACAATTTAAGAGTTCTTTTAACACAATATTTGTAGTATTAATATGTTGGGACAGCATAATAAGCATTCAGTATCTTCAATTTCAACTTCAAAATAGACAAGAAAAATAATTTAAGAATATAATTTAAAAAATTCTATATCAAGAGAATCCAGTACAGAGAGATGAGCAAATTGTTTATCAACTTTAACATAAAATTCTCTATTACATCACTACACATCCAATACATTGAGATGAACAATTCAGTCATCTTTTGATGTTAAAAAAAGAACATAAGAATATATATGAGAAAGTGATGAAAGTTTCTTGGTCAAGTCAGGAAGAGACACTGCCACAAATATTCTAATATTTTATTCAAATTCAGGCTGAGTAGTTTTCAGAATACTCTTGTGTATACACACATACACACCTTTTTTCTTTTTTTTTTTTAAATCATTTCACTCCCAAAAAAGGTGATAATGCAACTAAGACACAAGGATTTACCGGAGGTGAAAGAAAATGGGGAAACTTTAAGAGAATGAACTGGAAACAAGAGATAAACCTCTACTCCTGTTCAAAACATGAGAAAGGAGTGTGAACTGGGTGATATATAATGTGGATATATCAAGAGGTGTTTACTAAACACAGCTTAGTCCAGCCCAAGGTCAAATGAGAGGTCTGAGTAGAACTTCAGTGAATGGAAGGCAGTAGTCTTGAAAATTAGTATTTGAAATTCCATGTTTATTTGGGTTTGAATACCAGACCCACACATTAGTGGGAAATGCACAACTATATTATCTAACAAATATATCATATATTATGTAATATACAATAATAATAGTAATTATTATTATTTCAGATATTAATTGCCCAATGATAATACACTGACACAAAACTATTATAAATTATGAAGACTAGCAAGTATATAAAATAACTCCAGGTCAAATTCACTTCTTGCATGAGAGAAGTGCTTTGATTTTGATAAGATTCACAGCTATATTTTGCACACTATCAGATATTGATTAGCATTTGTTGAAATTAAAACATCATGAATATTACTTTTATAAGAAAAATGTATGAGACAGGCAGAAAGGTAGGGAAAGAGAGAGAGAGAGAGAGAGAGAGAACATGTACATTGAAAAAAAGAAAAGAGTAAATTTTTGGCTAATCCCAGGTTTTCTTTAACTTCATTCTCAGCAGGAAAGAAACAAATTTGTCATATGGTCTTTGTTATCTTTTGTTGTTTTACATTTTGTCTAACTTTCTTCTATGCATTCATAAGAATAACAACAAACATCTCATGAAAAATATACTCTTCCCTGTCTTTGTACTTTTAGAATCAGCACATGTACCCATAATTCCTCTGTGCCTTCTGACAGTGGCCACTATCACCAAGTATTTAGTCCTTTCCCCTAGACACTCTCAGTACCTAGTAGGTAAGCTTTTCTTCTTTAAATAACATTCTCCATTAATTTCTCAGACTATGTTTACATCATATAACCAGGAAACCAGCAAGGTCAGCACCCTATCTTTTATGATCATTGTACCTGTTCACTTTGAGCTTCATCCTTCAAGGAATGCTCAGTTACCTATAGAACTCATTACCTGCCTAATATCTATGATGTGTCAGGAGTATTCTGTCCACTAACATATTTGATGTCTGTCCAATTGCAGTCACTCTCCTCCCCACCAAATTCATAGACGGAGTGATTTTTTTTTTTTTTTAATAGCTTATCAAGCTTTTTGAGATTATTTAAAGCTGAAACATTTTTGGGTTGTAATAGTTTTGGGGAAGATAATGATTTTCTGATACAAGTTTTGCTATTTAATCCATAACTGGGTAAAAAAAGGGGTGGATTCATACTTTTACCAAGGATATTTGCATGTTAATGCATATAACAAACAAAACTAAAATTTGAACTCAGCTTTCAGATTTCTCATTCAGAATCATGGACTGGGCAACTTTACCCACACTTCATTCCCCATTCAGGCTGATGCCAACTCTTCATCTGCTTAGCAGCTCTACCCTGGGATGCTACCACTCACAAGACCATTGCAGTACTGTGTCTCTCACATGTCCAAATCTATGTGATATGTTGTACAAGAATACAGATTTGATTGGCAATATATCCTCTCTCTTGCCTTTATGGTTCAGTGATGTCACAACAATCCAATTCACACTGGTACTACAGGCCATTTTGAAGTACTACATGACCTTCCATCTGTCAAGCATTTCTCAAAGAGCTGAGCAAAGTACTGTTCATAATAAGCTCACCCACTTGCCCCTGTTCCAAAAACACCTCATTAAGTATCACTGTGATTACAGCCACCAATTCATGCCAGATTTTCTTCTAAATAGCTACTAACCAAGGCCCACAGTCTACAATCAGCAAAAGTACCCCTTCCCAATAATGGGTCATGTCAATGGTTTATTTCATCCATTTTAACTTTAACCTTTTTAGAATCTGAGGCAAGGTCAATTGAGTGAGACCTATCACAATCTCTAAACACTTTTTGGGCAGGCTCCTTAATAACCATCTGAATCTATTTCATAAAGCAGAATCAAGGTTCTACTCACTCACATACAGAGAGTACAATTAGTCAATCTCAATGTCACAGACAGCATATCCCTAGCCAGCACTTTTTCATTCATGATAAGGCATTGGCTTGGTTTTACTCCAAGGGATCAAAGTTTGCACTTAAGTTCAAATTAAACTCAGCGACCAGTCTCCCCCAACCCAGTATTCATAACTGTTTCTTTATTATCATTTCTGCAGCACCTTTTGTCTGAACCATCTTTCAACCAGAGTTGATTCAAATGAGAACCATAGTCAAATCCATTAGAAATCCTTTCAACACCCATTTAACACCAAGTTATCCCCTTAATAGGAGCAGCCAATTTAGTCATCATGCTGATATAGTTGAAGTTGTATTTCTTCTTCAACCACAAAGTATCTTTAGCTAGCCTAGACATTCACACACACACACACACACGTTGCTAATGTTACACCAAGCCAACACTTTCTGAGAAAGGAACATCCCCAATCTCCTGAACTAGGTCCTCTCTACTAAGCTCATCCACGTTGCTTTCCATTGCAGTAGCCACCTCAATCAACCTTCCAGCCAACACCCTGAGCTCTTCCTTTTGCATAGGTGCACAATGTCCATCCTCCTACAGACTGTGGTTGTTTCTCACCTCAAGGATCTCATTTCCCCCACTACACACCTTATCTCTCTTGAATCGATGCCCTAATGCTACACAGCCTTCTATCAATTCCAGGATCTTCATTATCAGTCCAATATTTCCTTAAGCAATTTATCACCTCCAAAGTTTGTAATTATTTTGTCCACTAGAGTGTGATCAATATACAACTTCATAGCTTCTCTTATTTTGTCCCTCTTCCCTAACAGTTTTAAGTATGCCCATCATAATCTTATGCCATATTAAACAAAACTCTAGTTAAGTTAAACAGTACATTTGTCTCTTGTACTTAACCAGCTGATAGTATCACCACTCCTCCCACCATGCAATTGCAGGTAGACACGCTTTAGATCCACAAGAGTTATGGACTGTCATTTGCCTCAATTTTCTCAAGGTACCTGTACAAGCATCAATACTATCAACACCTGTGCAGCATTTCACATAGCCTCCAAGTTCTCTGTAGTCCAGTACAAGTGTTTTTTTTTTTTTGCTATCTGAACCCCTACCATCAACCAAGGTATTAGGATATACTTCTCTATCCACCTTTTTTATTGAATTCCATCATCTGCTCCCACCAGGAAAAAGTTTTAATAGGAACCAAATCCTCTGGATTTGGCAGCTTTCTCACCCAGCACCACTCAACTATCCATTTCTCCCCATCAAATCTTACAGAAAAATCCTCAATCAAAGGATCTGGTTCATTATTCCCATCTTCCACTTGTTCCCACCTCATGCCCACTTTACGTCACTCTTGAATGAATTCTACCCTCTACTTATCAATGATAACATTTCCCAAATGATTGATTACTATCATCACCATTATGATGTCAACATCTTCAATGATATTGTTGACTATTGTCAATTTCAGTCACACACCATGTATAGTGGATTCTACATCATAGTCGCTTCACACTTAATCTTCCACCTGTCCTCTCTGCTGTTCCTTTCCCTTCAAGACCCTGTCAGCTTGGGTGTTATCAACATGGTTGTACACCTACGTCTAGGAGGGTTCTCACCCCCTTTGTCTCCTACCACCATATCTATTATTGGCAATCACCACTGTGGTGCAGTAGCCATACCTCACTCCCCACCACAATATCACTCATTTCCCTGTATGCTGTAGCATGGAACATCACCTGGCTCCCACATTTATAACATCAGCTCTATTCATGGTGGTTTCTTGCAGTCTCTCACTATAAAGGTCCACTGCATCTGAAGCATTGACCACAACCTCCTATTCCAACTCATATCAGAATTAAAACAGAGAAAAACGAGAGGAAAGATTCAAGTCGCAAATTACTTACAATGTACTCATTTGGAACAAGTGTTTGTGATAGGGGTCCTCGACCAGGTATCACCGGAACTCGAAATACCCCATCTACCCGTTCAGAATCATCCTAAGTGACAAAAGATAAAAAGAATCATGAGATAAAATAAAACATGAAAAAGAAATGTATACATTTTATACTAAAATTCATATTTTTAATTTGTCAACTCAACTGAATTGTATTACTACAACTGAATTAACTGCATTTATACATTCAATAAAGCATTTTTCCAAACTTAGAGAAACATTAACAATAAAAAAGAAAAAAAAAAAAAGCAATATATAATGTAGTATACAGCAGTGCTACTCAGTGGTGATCTGTGGACCAGTGTCCAGGCCATGCTAATGGAATCATTTGAAGCTTATTTTTTTTTTTTTTTTTATTACATTTTATGTTTTGATAATGAATTATTTTTTGCCAAATAAATGGAAGATAAAAAAATAGTCAACTTTTATTATATTTATTATATATATTGTTTCTGGTATAAATTAATATTATGATGAAATATTACATGTACATGTCACATTGAGAAAAAAATGTCAGTCTGCCATATCAAATTGAAAAGCACTGGTAGACAGAAATATTTGTCAAATAAAATAAAAAACATTAATTTCCCCATTTATCTATACTGTTTCCTTTTTCTTTAAATACTATATTATTTTTTTTTATTTTATTGTTCAATGCAGTTAGTGATTACTACAGAGAATATACCAAATTTAGATTTTTATTAAGAAAAATTAAATAAATAAAAAAAAATACTTGAACTAGTTCTTCAAACACTTAAATATTAATATATAGAATTTTTAGTTACCACAATTGTGTAAATCAGCTGGTCATCTATCAGAGTTACAAAAGAATATAATTGCTAGTTAATTGCTCAAACCTAAGTAATTCAACTAACAGATCATGACATCTATCAGAGATGAAATTTAAATTTTTATCATTGCATTATTCCAAAATTTTAACACATTAGCTGATAGCTATTAATGTCAACAACTGAGAACAAATAGTTATTAATTTAAACAATTAGTAATTAATGTATAACATTATTACCCATAACAAGAATGTCATTTTTGATAAAAGTTAAAAAAAAAAAAAAAAAAATAACCATCAATACATAAAAATGCAGATAGTGTCAAAAAAATCCCTTTTCCACAATATAGCTATTTGTGCTATCTTATAATGCTTATTACCTAAACAATAGTAATGCTGAATAAATTCTTTTTGAATATTAAAGTATATTTAATCACATCTCCTTAATAGCCATGGTGATCTGTAAACAAAAATAATTTTTAAAAATAATCTTGTATGTGATTACCCCTATTTCCTGCCATCTATGTTTTTAATCTTGAACCAAATTTTCTTATATTACAGTACACATCTGATTCCTTATTGACAGTTAAATGTTCATCCTATTTCCAATGTAATAAGATTATTAAGCACAAGATTACAGAAATGATTTTGTAAGATCTGTTCTTTACCCATAACAGTTTTTGAATGACATAAAAATGACAAAATAAAAGAGTAATATATTGAAATTCTACAGAGATATATTAGATATAAATACTAGCTATCAGTTATTACAAATCTACAACAGATTAAAGGCTTTTTCCCCCCAATTCATTCCATAAAAATTATTGACATGTTACTGACAATCTCCCCTCTATTTCACCTATTTGATTTTTTACCCCGCCTCCAGTGGCACCACCAATCAAGCAATGTTTAACTCCATCTGTTATCTTTTCTTACTCTGTACTTCCCTACCATGATTTTTGCCTTAATCATTTCTATGGTTCGAGATATATATATATATATCTCACACACACACACACACACACAAGGAATAAAACTAGGAGATTGGTCATAGTTGGGTTGCAGGAAGCACAGAATGATTTCTAATCTTTTGTTTAGAAGTTCATTGTGTTTATTTTTTCACTAGGTAAAAAGGTTACATCATTCCGAGGTGTTCCTGTAGATTAGTCTTATTTTCTTTATCCTCCAGATTATTTGTGTTCGGGCTTGTGTTTTTGATTTCCCATATATGTTTTGATAGGAGATTACTGCTAGCATATTTTCTGTTATTTAATGATACTATGTGTGTGTAGCTTTTCTATTTCCAGGGAGTTTCTGTCATCCTTATATTTTGTAGACAGTTACCATTTAGTACTTTGTTCTGCAGTTACAGGTGGATGTCATAGGAATTTGTGTATACTAGTGATTTTCCTGTTGTACTTTGTGATTTGAGCAGGTTATCAGAATCTGTAGTTAATGAAGAGTGGAATTATTTTGATTATGCTGGGTGGGTAGTTGAGGGAAGGGTGTATATATAATGTGGGCATTCATTAGGTTTTCTGCATAGTCCTTGTGTACATTTGTAAAAGAATATATAAAGTTATGCCAAAGAAAACCTCTTTTTTGTTTGTTTTGATGCCAATTTCAAAACTATTATAAATTAATTTCTTAGAATTAACAGCCTGTCATTTCCATACTTTTTTTATAATTGTAGTTAGTCTATACAGTGTGTGTGTATATGTATGTATATATATTATAGCTGGCCACTCATATTTGAGGATAACCATCTACTAGGGCAGCTAGCCAATCCTTATTGCAGACACTTGCTCAGGCACATTTGTGTTTGTTCAACACCCATAGAGCCAATCTGTGGTTTATACTGCAACTATGCTGAGTAGACCTTAGTTACAGTTTCTGGAAGAGAGCGGGTTATCTAGCATGATCAACAATTTGAACAAGACCAGCACACTCAAGCCCTCTGCCATGATGACTTGTGGCTTCGTGCTAGTTTCTCTTTGTAATTTAGGGCATTTATGCTATTGTTTAAGCCATAATGATGAAAACGGCCAACTGGAGACATAACATCTATTATATATCACCCCAATTAATTAATGGATATCTATTCACAGTGTGTGCTTTTTCTCAAAAATAAATAAATTTCCTTGTTTTGCATCAATGTTGACTGATATTCATGAGTAATACTTATTTTTGATAAAAAGTCAATTTTAAAAAGGATTTCATTTATTAATTGTCCTAAAGTGAAAGCAAGTTCAATCTTTTAGAGTCTTTTTGTAGGTGGAAATAAACCCTTTTAAATTTGTGATTGTCACTCATATTACTAGCTGCAAGGGTATATTACCATGTTATATTTTAACCTTTAGAACTCTGCTTTATTAATATTACTTCACTTTCCACTGCATTCTTTTTTAAGGCAATTGCAATATTCTTACTGTTAATTGGACTCAAAGTTGTTTTCTGTTGCTATAGCAGGATACGAAAACAACTACAAAATTCAAACAAATTCAGGGATCAGTCACATTCTGTGGTTGGATAAACATTTTGTACAGTAAACGAAATGACATACAGAGTGATAAAGGTTAAAAATAGCACATATTAAACAGCAGTAAAGTATTGTTTGATATTTTATAGCCTAGAATTATGACTTATCCAATATCAAAACTTTTTTCCAAAAATGTGTTTCAGACATGAGAACCCTGTCCATTTCAGATAAGGATTGGTAGGTGGTTATCTCCTTATGGTAATTTTCTTATTTTTTCCTAATTAATGATTTCCCTCATATTTTTCTTATAAGCATTTACTATTTTCTTCTGTGTGCAAGGCTTTGTCAAAAGCTACAAGAATCACCCAAACATGCATGTAAATGCATATGAAAGAGTTTTGTTTCATTGGTACTAAAATGATTGTGCATAAAAAATTTCATGATAATTAATTTTTACTGTAGGAAAAGTGCTTTGTAATCGTTCTATTCTCAAAATGCTAAATAGTACTTTTAGTGTGATTAATATAGATAATTTTGTTGACTTGTTCAATTTGACCAAGTTACGTGAATCACATTGTCTGATTCCAAGATTTAATTTTCTTCTAACTAATGTTGATTATAGCTCTCACAACTGAATCCAATAAGTTTCTCATATTAATCAGCCTTCCTACATATTAAGGATGCAATTCAAGTGATACATTCAAGAGCATTTTGTCCTAGCATTCAAGTGATGAACTAAATAAATGATTATGCTTTAGCATTCACGGACATTTGGTCAATTGTAACAAAACTGTAGAAAGCTGTCCAATCATGCTACAATAATGTCCTTTTAAAAATTAATTGGAAGAGTAGTAAACAAGCAGATATTACATAAGTCCAACACTTAAATAAAACATGGAAAATGATGAATGTTAGTAAAGGGAAGGCTGCAAAATGTGGAGATTTTATTTGGCATTGAAAAAGACACAGGATCATTTGATGAAGAGTGATTCTACCAGAATCAAAAAAACAATGTAGAATAAGTGAAACTGTTGTTTTACAGTATGAAGCTGAAAGAGTGATGGTTGCAGTTCACAAAGAGGAAAGGGAAACGGAGAGGGCTGAGATTGCATTCATGAACAATACCAAGACATTTGATAATAAATGTCTCTCAATAAAAGTCTAAATCAATCCAGTTTTGTCAGAATGTCTACAACAGAAAATGTATTATTAAATCAAACTGATCCTGTTCTAGACAAAACTTTAAAAAAAGTATGTATTAGCACAGAAGAAAAAAAAAATAATCAAGCCTGCTTGCACAAGTGTCACCTATCTGTAACTTATCAGCAAAAAGTCACAAGTAATAGTATAAGTGTTATGCAAGTACCTTTATGGTCACATGTATTTTTTAACCACACCTTAAAAAGATACCTCTGTCTCAACTGAAAATGATCAAGCAACTAGCAAAAATGTTCATAACATCTTCTGAATATAAATGTTACCAATAAGTGTTACCATCAGTCAAAACAATCAGACTATATATGCAAATGCAAACATTTTAAGTTGAAAGTGATGCAGCCAATTAATTATTATCAAAACCTGACCAAGTCAAAAGTACACTTTATTATAACCACAAGAAAGAAAATAAAAAAGAATGCCCAGCTATTATTTTTAAATTTTCATTAGGTGAGGCATTTGTTTTAAAGTCATTCTAATTTGCATAAGAGGACAGAGATCAGATTGTTAAACTCCTTGCTGAAACATATCACAGCATCTGTTGATGGCAAAAATCTAACTGCTGGAGAACTACAGGGTAAAAACAGATGAAATAATGACTGTCAACAACAATAAATAAAATAATAATAAAATAAAAATAAAAAACCTAAGCTGGAATTGCTCTTCAATCCTATCACATTCCTATGTATATTTTGTGCAAAAGTCAATAAACTGAATGTAACAAATCTGCAAGAAGTAGAGGAGGCAGTGAGCAATGTGAAGTTTTAGAAAAATAAAAAAAAAAAAAAAAAATTTAAAAAAAAAAAAAAAAAAATCAATCACCCTACTTAAATCTTTTTTTTTTCAGAGGCAAGAAAACAAATGTAGAAGCTGGCATCAATGGTCTTCTAGCTGTTGTTATCCATATCAGAAAAATCTTGCTCCTTAGCAGATTTATTTGATCAGACCTGTCAAATGAACATGCTTTTTTGCAGATATTCTGCAATACTAAGTAAAACTGCTGCTTCGATAATCGAAACTTATCCAGTATTGAAAAATAGTACTTGATAAGACACACACAAGCAATCAACTTGTAGAGTTATGTCAAATTTACATAGAGAGGAAACTATTTTTCTCTAAATTAGAAACATTGGCTAATTTTAATTGCAAAGTTACATATTCCCTTCATCTTGCATCCTGTTCAAGTTTCTTACAAAGTAAATTTGCTTATTACTCTCCAAGTTGTACAAAGATTTGCTCAAAAAGAAAAACAGGCACATTACAGAACTAAATGTTTACTATCAGGAGAATCAATTTTGATGAACCAAAAAATGAGTTAGGCAAACATCTTGTTAGCCTCATCCACTGAAGCTGCAAAGGGAATATTAATGCAACATGAACAAGAATACAGTATAGATCCTAACAATAATGAAGAAAAAAAAAAAAAGGCAAATGATCCGTCATCATTATCACACAACTATAAGGGATACTAATAAACAACTTATCCACAGAATGGTTACTGATAGTGTTTGACCATCACACACAGAAGCCATCCAAATGCTAAAATTTTGACTACTGCAAATCCATTCGCAATGATCTGATCTTGCACAAAGGCTTACAGGGAGTTAAAAATATTGCGCTTAAACAGTTTGAAAAGTATACACAAAAATCACTTAGAGTCATGGTCAGGACCATTTACCTCTCCAGTTGAAATGCTAAAATCATAGATGAAAGACCTGACCAAACTAATCATATCCTGTGTACTGAGATTATTTACTTTGCTCATATTCAAAAATCTTTCAGTGTTATTGACAGATGATGCTGATGATAATGGAACTACAACTGTAGCAGGTTTACCTACCAATGATGTTGTATTGAAGGTTTTATGTTCTTGTAATGAGCATGACTCTTCTTGAATTATCTCCAGCTCTCAATGTTGAGATGAATGTTGTAGTTTCATTGAGAACAAATATGTATGGTATCTGAGTTATATTAAAGTAACATGTGAAAAATAGTATTGTTGTTGGTCACTTACACAGGGTAACTATAATAATTCACCTAAACAGTGCTTCAGATGAATAAACTGTTGCCATTGATCAAATACTTGATGTACCTATAGAAGATGATTGAAGTTTCTTAGGTTCAAAGAATCAGAAATTTACTTTGCTTAATGAAAACGCAATAGTAGCTGCATTTATAATGGTAACAGGCTTTTGGTTTTTTTTTTAAAGAAAATATATGCAGAATATTTTAGTTGATGTTATTGTTGATCATTAACCTGACCATTTTCTGTGGATGCCTTCCAAATTTTTGTAGGAACTTTTAATTTTCTATCTCCGTAATACTTTATTAGCCAGGTTCTATATATGAATAAAATCTGATCTAAACATGGCTAATTACAAAGCAATTTTCTTCAAAACTGGTTTCTCTCTTGGCTCTTTATCTGATTTTCACGTGGCAGATCCACACACAAAAAAATTGTTCATACTTCCAAACTCTATATTGTCCAGTTTTTGTGATTCTTAGTGAATTGTAGCTTCAGTTTCTTATCTGACCTGAGTGACACTCAGCATAGTCTTCAGCCATTCTAACATTGACATGTTTACCTCCAGAGACACTTTTCTATAACCCTATTGTATAGAGTTGTTATTTGAGCTACTGTTGCTTTTCTATCAGTTTGAACAAGTCTGGTCATTCTCCTTGAACTTCTTTCATTAACAAAAGAAATTTGCACACACAATTTCTGCTTGCCAAGATATTTTTTCTGGCTATTCTGTGTAAGCACTTGAGATAGTTTTGCATGAAAATCCTAGTAGATCTGAAGTTTTTATATACTTAGACATGCCCATCTGACACCAAATGACCTTGTGTTCAAAATCACTTAAACCAACATTTTATCCATTGTTCTTTTCATACTAATGAAATTCAGCAGGTCACTATGACCATATCTATTAAGCTGCCTTCACATCACTGGCTGTTTAGAAATTTAGATAAAAGAGTATTTTGTATATATATATATATATATATATATATATATATATGCGTGTGCGCGCGCACACACACACACACACTACAAAATGGACAAAGTCTAACAATTATTTTTAATATATTTTATTCTTATATATTACTTTATATATAGACAAATATTTAAGTAAATGCTTGTTCAGACCAGTAAATATTGTTAATGTTTATTATAAACAGACCATTCACTTAAATATTAGTATCTATATAAATAATTTATAATATATATATATATATATATATATATATATATAACAAACCCTGACTGTAGACAAAGTTACAAGCTTTCTTCCAGATGTCTAAATTTCTCAGCTAATGCTAATATGAATAGCAAATTTAATATAAAACGAATTAATGCAAATCAGTTAAAGAAACACTTAAATAGAACAAGGACCAGAACCTTCAATTCAAAAAAGAAATTCTTCAAAAGGAAATTATAAACAACTTATAACACAGAATTATAATACCACTATCCTACATATCTTCATGATACATACCTCTTCTACCTACCCTTACAATAATCTAATTTAGTAACCCATTTGCCTTGAGGGGCTTTAAAGAGGAGAGGAAAAAAAAATACTTGTGCCATAATTATTATACCTTTAGCATATGAAAAATATAAGCAAATGTAATAATTATTATGATACAGATGTAATATAACAGCATAATTATGTAAGATGTTGAATGGCTGGCATCAACATAAATAGTTCCATACTGTCCAGAACAATTTTTTTTTTCATTATTCAAAAATGAAAGATATTTCAGCAAAGTAGGTTTAAAGACAAAAATATACATTTAATTTAAAACATTTAGAAAAAAAAAAAAAAAAAAAAACTTACCAATTTTTTGTCTACTTTTTTATCTATTTTTTTCTCTGCTTTTTTGTCTGCTTTTGCATCTTTTTTATCTTTTGATGCATTTTCAGAATTTCCATATGATTCTTTGTAGACAGTTCCATTTTTGGTATTGCTTTGAAGATAAGAGTTTTTATTAACTAATTTTGAATTTCCTTTTGAATCTGATGGATTTAAAATTTTCCCACAGGCTTCACAAACTTCACAACCAGTATTAGACTGCAAAAGAAAAAAAGTATATTGAAGAAGTTTTATCTTAGAAAACAAATTAAATAAATGCATCAAAAATAAAGATGTTAAATATACGTTTCAATATTTTATACAATTTTTAAAAATAATACACATTTTTTAACTATATTGTAATCAGTCATTATGTATTGAGAGCAGACAATATCCAGGAACACTTGTTTTTCTCTTGATTTGTATTCTTAAATAAAAGCATGACAGTTTTAAGAGATTTGCTCCAAAAGTAATGTATCCTGTTGGTTACATTGGTCATTATATTGATTATGTTGGTCCAAGACATTACAGATGAGTGCTGATAGCATGGTACTAAGGCTGAACTTTTTCCAATTGTTCAACAGAGTTCTTACATGCTAAAAACACTGCATCCATTAACATTCATGGACACTAGAGACCAAAAAATAAAAGTTAGCAAAGGCAGTGGGTGACAGCAATAGGTGGATTACCTTGACTGGTGCAGATTATTATAAGAGCATCATTACTGATGAAAATGCATTGTCAATAGGTGGTGACAATCAGGAAAAATAGCATTTTATAGATGAACAACTTGCTAAATCCAGGAGTGTTATTGTGCTCTCTGTGTCTATTGTAACTTTCATGGAAACAAATAGAAAGCGCACAATATGTTTGACATACCTTAAGAGAATTTGTGTATCAATTTCAGACCACCTGTATATTGGGTCATAGGTATAAAGATTTGTTTTGACAACAGGGATTTTATTTACAATAGGACACCAAGATAACATTAACAGGTTTTGTACTTCAAAATACAACAGAAAACTTGGTTTATGAATTGGTTTAGTTTATCGATGGGCTGGATACTCAACCATCAGCTTAAGTTCCTATTTAAGTTTATACCAAAATTGCTAAGTAAAATATCACACTCAAAAATGATGGGAAAAAATCCAAATTGAATCAAAATATTTGAGATGATACTTGAATACTCAGTGATTCATAAAAAACAAAAAACAAACCAGCAAGAAACCTTCACATTTTGTTTTTCATGTTAAGTGATTAATTGATATTAAAGATTTAATTTCAAGCATAGAAAATTACCACATTTGGTGTATGAACCCCTACTTACATTTATTATTATGTAGCTAGGCAAAATACAAGGAGGAAATATTAGCCTACAAGATATCTGTATTAGCCTACCATAATATTGTATAATACAATATATTTTTTTCCTTTTCATGGTGAGTTAGGGACGTCTTATATATTCTCAAATATAGAAGTTACAAAAACTTTTCTCAAATGCTCATTTAGATGCTCTCTTCTTAGTTAATCATGTGTCATGCTTCAGTGATTAGAGAGTCCTTGAAGCACGCCTGGCCTGATTAGACCGTCCCTGAAGCATACCTGTGATTAGACCATCACATGTTCATCAATGATAACATTTCTGCCACATGTTTGACAACAAGGCAAAGTACAGAGAGAATTGCATTCATAATGTCAAAGACATCAGTTAGGTTTGTAAATTCCACTTCCCATGCCATCTATTCCCAAGATATTTCATCTATGGTGTCTAATATACAATTCATTCTAAGCTTATAAATAAAAAATGAGGCTTATGATAATATTCTAATATCTGGCCATATTATCTGTAAGAAAACAGACTTTAAAGAAGAAAAATTGGAATTAATTTTATAAATGTTAATATCCTTTTTTAATGTCCTTTATATAATAAAGGAGAAAGAAAATTATTAAAAAAGTTAAAGGACAATATTAAATGTAGGATTTGAAAAATACCAAAATAAAAAAAAATTAAAAAAAATAAAAAAAAAAAGAGACAAAGAAAGCAGTATAAATATAAATTAAATTTACCTTTCCAGATTTTGGTTTTTCATTTGACTTTGGTGCTTTCACTTTGACATAATCTGTAAATTCCATTGTTGCCAAATGAACAAGTCTTCGTAATCTATTAATGATTGTATAACAATCATAGAGCTCCTCTTTTGAATCGGGAGACGTCTTTGACCAATCATACTCCAACCTAATAAGTTCTTCCTTACCAAATATTAAGAACAATTGAGCAATAGTCAAATCCTCAGCTTCTTTCAAAGTCCAACCCTTTTTGGATTGTTCAAGCAACTTGCTCTTTATTTTTTCAAAATCTTCAGCAGCACTGATATCTGCAGTAGACACTGTAGAAGTGACAGTTGAAGATGCAACAATGGCAGTGGTAGTAGTAGAAGTAGCCGTAGAAGTGGTGGTGGTTGTAATGGTAGTGGTGGTCGTAGTGGTGGGTATGCTGGCAGTCGTTGAAGGCAAAAGAAATGATTTGATTTCTCCAGACTGATCAGATTTGTTGAACTGTGCCAATAACTCAATACTTGATGCTTCTGATGGACACAATGTAACAAAAGAAAAAAAGAAGACATAGTATTTGTAATGTGATTTATGTATTATATTTTCCACTATTAATAAATTGTCAATTAAAACTCTATAGTAACAATCATGTTAATAGGTCTAATGCTTCAGAAATGTAGAACAAAATGGCAAGACATGCTGAGGATTAGGAAAGTTTTATTAAACATTACTAAAGAAATTAAACTTGGATTAATTCTTCATTCACTAAAAAAAAAAAAAAAAAAAGAATCAGTACAAAGAAAAATTATTAGATACCATATTTTCAAAGAATTTCCTCCTTCAAACCCCAAATTATATCATGTATAAATACAATAATATGACCCACAAAGAACTGGGGAGTGACAATTTGGAGCCAAAGTTGTGTTCATAAATACTGCACTGATCTTAAGGTATAATCCATACATAAATTGACCCAACCAGTTTTTTTTTTTTTTTTTAATAAGTACTATGCTACTTTTTTTTCCTTTTTAATTCCATAAATGATTATTATTATTATCATCATCATTACCATGAATGAAATAGCTTTCAATGATCATAAATTCCAATAAACTTTTAGCTATACAATCTTTACCTATAATAATGAAATGGTTAAGAAAATTATGGATCAGGAGAAGAGCATTTTTTAACACTAACAAGAATGGTCAACTAAGAAATAGTGAACTCACTCATTAGTAGGATTAAAATGAAACATTAAATATAAAAAATATTTTTCATAAAATTTTATACATACAAGTTCGTTTAGATATTGCATTGAAAATAAACTCTTATGTTGTTTAAGATAGAAAATTACCCAGCCACAATTTGAAAAGAATGAGTACAACACTTTCATCCCAGTAATTAGACAAAGACATAAGTTTGTACAAGAGAAAATAGGAAAATCTGTCTGAAGAGTTTTAGTAGTTTTACATATACAAAAAGTACCAGAAAATAAATAAATAAAAAGAAAAAAGAGAATATATCAAAATAATGAAGCAGATTTTACTAACATTTATCCCATCCTAATTCAGTGCACCAAACAAAAAAAAAAAAATTATAAACAAAAGATAAAGACAACTATATAAGGATGTGTTCCACTTCGCACTAATGCCCTTAAAAAAGGCATGAAACTACATATCCCTGTATCCTAGATATGTACTAAATATAAGTGCAAAGTTGCCTATTTGTACAAATGCTTAGTTTAAAAAAAAAAAAAAAAAAAAAAAAAAAGATTATGTTACTACAAGTATGGAACAATGAGAGACTAAAGTGAATAAGCTCATTTGTCAACCACTCTCCTATAATCATCTTACTGTCAAGTCAGTTGCAGTAAAAAGTTATGTCCATAGTCAACATTTATAAGACAGAATGACAAGTGAGAATGAAATTACTTAAGGGTAAAAATGATTTGTTGAAATTTTTTGTAATTTGTCAGTATATTTGAATATGAAAACTAAACGTACCTTTGGTATTAACATGATAGTTATTAAGTTTCAAATCTGGTCGGGGTTGTGTTTCAATAGCCTGTAAAGACACTGGGTAACATTTGCTTGAACGATGAGGATATAATACCAATTGCTTTTGTGTTTCATCAAATGAATTCAAACTTTCTTTCTGGGACAAGGTAAAGGAAAAATAACAAGTTACAAAGTTTAAATTTTTTTCTTTCAAAACAAAAGCATTGCAAGATTCAAAACAAAATTATGTGAGACACAATATTAATCTTTTTAAATTCTCTACAAATATGGCATCAAGACAAATTTAATAGACAATACATAAAACTGAGCATAAAATTTACTTAATATTTAAAATAAGATTTTTTTCTCTCGCATAATTTTGCATAGTTTACAAAACAAACAGTACCAGTTTAATTTATTTTTACAAAGTTGATGGTTTTTTTTTTTACCTCTCATAAGCATTAAATAAATTTTAGTAATAGGCGTATCATAGATCAATATTTTCCTACACACTGCCCAGTCCAGAATTTAATTAGAGATGGGACAATGAAATCAGGCATAGCTGATCAATGGAGGGGAAAATGATGATGATCAAGATGTGGATTCAAGTAAAAATACCATAGGATATTTCCACTTATTTAACAGAGATGATTACAATATCTAAAATATGGGGGAAAGTTGGTGACAATAGTACTGATAAGTCAAAAGTAAATATAATAATTATTTTATCTATAAACTATGTCGCTTTAATATAAGAAATGAAAATTCAGGTTGACAATTTAGAATGCAAAATGAAACTAATAATATTAGAAAACCTAAGTTTCTGGAAGAATATGGCAAGTATATTACATGGTAAGCTGCATGTTCCCTCTAAATAAAATTCCAAATGTCTCAATGCTACAGAGAGACAAGTTGAAATGCAACATGACATTACATGTGCAATATGTAAAAAGAAAACTGCAACAATTCTTGAATAGTTATTTAAATAAAAAAGAAAAATAAAAATGTGCAAATCAGATGAAATTAAATAATAATGTCAGTAACAAAGGATACTAATTTAAGATGTGGTGGCTTCCATTTCTTTTGTAAAAATGACATTACAGTTGATAAATGTTGATCTGATTTTAGGGTCATTCTTAAGCGTGGATTTTGGGCCATTTCCTGAACATGCAACCATGCTGAATTGTTCTTGGGGTTAAGTTCCAAAGTTACTCTCTCTGGTACGCGGCATGCTGAATCATCATCTTCAACTGGATCTACACAAAAAGAAAATTTGTTCTAATTTCCTAGAAAAATTTATAAATTATAAAATTTATAATTCTAATTTACTTTTACATTAAAATAAATATGAAATTTAAATTTTGATTAAATAAAAGGACAAATTTAAACAAGTTAGAGTTATAGTTGGTGTTTGTAGTTAATGCTTGAATACAGAAAGTTTCAAATACTTGTACGATTGACACAATTTTCTATTCCCATTTTTACGATTTGGTTTCATGTTATACAAAAGGTTAGTGAATATCAAATTAAAAAACTATCGATTAAAAAAATAAAAATAAATAAAACTTATGACCAATAAGTAAAGCATCTGTTGTTAAACAAAAGTTAACTTGTCTTAAAAGCCTTTGTTAGCAAGTTTGGTCTTCATTAGGTGCTCTATGAAAATAGCCTTGTGCTAAGTTTTGTCCAATAAATGCTGATCATGAAAAAAAAAAAAAAAAAAAAAGGTAAAAATTTGAAAATTTTAAATATTCAAAGTATTTTTTGTGAACTTTCTTACAGCTTTGCTCATACACAACACAAACTATCAATCTTCAATTTTTTTTAAACTTCAGAATTAAGTACACTCAAATTAAATAAAAGTCGAGATATTTCCTTGGTTATTGGACACTGAAGTAAAACTCTTTTCAAATATAGAAGCCTCTATTTTTAACAAGTCATATCTAAAATACAAACATTTATGTCAGAATTTCTGGAATGAAGAGTTATTATTTAAATGTGGACTATTATTCTCATTTTTGTTGTTATCACAATATTTCAGCTGTAGTGCCATCTGACCTTCATCAGGTGTTTGTGGATCCAAGCAACCTACAGGGAATTTTGAACTGAACCCTTTATCTAATCTACAGGGATAAATTGTTTTTGTTCCATTTACCATATATAGATATTTAGTTCTTATTTTAGTACTGCTCATCCTGTTTCCACTGAACCCAAGTACACACTACTCAGACCAAGGATTGAGATCACAATTATGTTACCAAATTCACAAACCAATGCTTTAACCTATTAGGCTATTGGCCTGTGTGATGAGAGCTTGGAGCCTTAAGCCTAACCTTCCTGCTCATGAATACTGCTGCCTCTGCTTGTCTGCTCACACTGAAGTTTTCTCTTTTGCTACAAAATGGCCAAAACACTTTGATAACAACAACAAAAATGAGGAAAATATTCAACATGTAAATAATGTAAACAGAAAATTTAGTGTAGTACAAGCCAAGATCACAAAGTCAAAAATATAAAAATCAATATTGTCAGGAATAATAAATAAATGTTTTTTTATTAAAACGTTTTTGGACCATATTTGTTCTAAAGCAAATATAAATTAAAGCTGTCAAATTATATGATAAAAATATTTAATCTGCTTACCTTCTACATTGTTAATTTTCTTTAAAGCATTACAATATGGTGTTCGAATACGGAAACTTTTCCTTCGTACTTTAATCAGAGTAGACCTTTAAAAAAAAAAAAAAAAAAAAAAAAAATTTTATTTTTAATATTTTATTAATTATATAAATTTTATTTTTGAAGAGGTTTCATATGTGCACATAAATAATAAAACCTGAGAACTCATCACTTCAGCATTATACTTAGAATAATTGGCAGACTTAGAACCAAATTAAAAACATAAGTTGGAATGGACAAAATGAAGTCTAGAGATAGTTCAGATGAACCATTAGTATTCTCACAATCCCCCAGTACTAGAGAATTGTTGACATTTGATCCTCAGTGACAGTTTTTGTCTAAACAAAACAATGGCTGGGATAGCACAGCAACTGACATAAGTTCCTCTTTAGGCCAAACCAGTTTTGAAAATTATTTTGCTTCTGAAGGAGTTATTTTGCTCTTTTAAAGTAAAAACTATTAAATGTATACTAAGTTAAAATTTATTATATTCAGTTTAGTCCTGCTTAGGAAGACTCAGCATGTGAAGTTTTGTAACTAATTCTTAAATTCCAATTTCAACTTTTACACCATCATTCTATTCCTAGTCTGTCAAATGTCTATGCCCACTGGCTGTGGGTCATAAAATGTAAAAACAATAAAATGAAATAAAACCATAAAATTCAATGGGATAGATGTTCAGTCATATCTGAACAGCTGTTGTAACCCCCTATTCCCAACCTAGTCCTTTAGTCCTTACACAGGTTTGACTCTGGTCCTTGGCTCCCTCTGAGGCCTCTCAGTGCCATGATGAAGAGTACTTTTTGCCAATTAATCCAGGTAGTTCTTACACATATTACTTGTGACTATTGCTATTCTTTACCTTTCTAATATTTCAATATACCAAACCATATCCACAGGTAAATCAAACAATAGAAACAAATTCAGTTCTGCAAAGACAAAAGTAGATCCCAGTTATTCAATCTCCTATAACAATACAAGAAAGGGCCTATGTTCCAAATTTAGATAAGTTGAACGCCATCTTTAAGAGATCAAAACTAACTACACAATCCTGTCTGATTGGTCTCCATTGTTTCTGAATTCACATTCCCTGGCTACTCTCTGTACCCACACAAAACAAGATCCTTTAAATCACCATGACCCTGAACTTGGTGCCACCTATATCAAGGTAGACTTCCCATGTGACAGAGACCACCCCCCAGACAAGGATCCTGATTAGCCATTCATGTGCTTTCACATGGCCCACATTCACTGTCTATCACCCTAAGGATGATGGAATTGTAATTATTGACAAAATAGCTGAGAAGATTAATGATATCCTCTCTAATCATCCATCAGCTAGCATTCATATTTGTGATGAATTCAATATTCACTATGAGGAATGGCTAGTCCACTGAAACAAAACCCAATAAAGAAAGGTATACTGTCATAACTTCCTAATCATTTATGATCATAGAGAAGTCTACAGTTATGTTCCCAAATATAATTGGGCATCACATATAAAAACCTCCTGGACTTTGTTCTTGTCTCGTATCCTGACAAATATTCCACTGAGATATTGTTTTACTTCATACCAATCTCTGGTCTAGGTCAAGATTGATGTCAAACCAAATGCATTATCTAATCTCCCATTTCATAGGAATATCTTTTGGTGCAACAAAGCTCCTCTTTCAGCATTCTTCAAATATAGAAGCATCCAGAACAGCCTCCATCATTTTCTCTGGCATGGAGAGTTTTACCCTAAACAAGAAATATCAACAAAAGGTCCAAAACTCAGCCTTTGCTTCTATGATAGCCATGTGCTGCAGTCACAGTAACCACTATTACCATCTCTAACACAACAAACAAGTATCATAAGAAATAGAAACCTTGCCATATTCAGAACCAACTACAATCAGTGCAAAAGAGAGTTCTGGAAAATGCGAAAAGCAACAATAGATCCAAACATAAGTTGAAAATATGACTTTCTTCAAGTTTTGGAAAATTACAAACAAAATTCTCAATAGAGGCAAAGATCAGTTCATCTCAGAAGTCAAATAGAATTCATATATACAATCCATTGTTCATGATGCTGGAAAAATGGTTAGTTCCTTGTAATGTTCCAGAAAGTATGACACCTCCTGCAATGCTCTATTTTTAACAAGTTAGATCAGACAAAAAAAAAAAAAAAAAAAAAAAAAAATTATATATATATATATGTTATATAACCATATTTATACTTTTCCAATAATATCTTTTTATTTTGTAGATGTTTTCTATACAGAAACATTATTCCAACCAAATGCATATTTATGGACTATAAACTAGAATATCTTAATATTTCTAAATGTTTCAATGTAAAATGAAAGCCAGGCATGATATTTGACATAATTTGATATTTCAATAAATTCAATTATTAGTAAAAAAATATTTGTTTAAATTTTTAAAAAGTAATCACTTACCCTTCTTGTATAAATTCATTCAGTTTATGTAAATTTTTGTCAGCTAGCACTAGAGAAATAAATGTCAGAAAAACATCAATATGGGTAAAAAAAAAAAAAAAAAAAAAAAAAAATGTAAGTTAAAATTAAACATTTATTTCATTTTAAATAAATATAATATAATTAAATTTGAATGTTTTACATATTTCTGGAAATGGTTCAAAGCAGTAATTGTATAATTTCTATATTGATGAGAAATTTTAAGGGTAAGTAAGCACTTTGAATGCATAATCAAACACAGAAAAGTCACTGATATATCCAGAATTCTTTGAAAGTACCTTAAAAACTGTGTAAAGATATGTAGAACTGATTTAAAAGTACAAAGATATTTATTATAAATACTGGATAATGTCATCAAAATCACAAACAGTATAAAATTGGATTTAAAATAAATCCAATTCAACAAATTTTGCATTATTTTTTTTTTCTCAAAACTTGTTTATCACAAAAATGAATAACCTAAATTCATACAAATGAATGTAAATTGTTCCAATTTTTATATCTATTGTTAAATATTTTCAGTGGATAATTTTTATCTAAAAAATATGGTCACAAAATGATCACAGCCAACTGTTTTCTATGTACTTAAAAAAGAAGCAAACTCAGTTAATACTATTATTAAGCAGAGTGGACAATAAAAGAACAGGAATTAAGATGAAAGATAACGATTGACATTGCATTTAAATTTTTGATGATCGAAGTGAACTGGGAAGAAAGAGGCTGGAAGAGAGTTCCACAAGCAAAAAGTGCAAGAAATGAAAGTGTTAGCATAGAACTTATGGTGACATCTAGCCATTTCAACTGTAAAATTAGGAGACATTGCCACCAATTCATAAAGTCTAGGTACCAAAGTTCATCAGAACAATTACCATGAAAGTATTTATAGAAAAGGTACAGCAAAGCAATGCTATAGCAGTGAGAAAGTGACTGAAGCTGAGATGCCAGGTCAGGATCGATAACATTGCAGATTCTCCTTTGTATTTTATCAAGAATTTCTAAATACATAGAAGCACTAGACCAGATGTGGCACCAATATTCAAAGCATAGATGAATGGTAAACTTATAAACATGTAAGATAGATATTGGTGAGAAAAATTATCTAGCATGACAGTGAAAAAACATTCCTAGAAGCAGATCTAAAAATAGATTCAGTATAATTGTTCCACGTCATGTCAAAAGAAAACATTAGCCCAAGAAGCTACAATGACTCACTCTCCTAGAGGTTAGCATCAGCTATGTTGAAAGAAAATAAAAAAGGTTCTCTCAGACAATTAAAACAGAGCAGTTTCATTTCAGACATGTTAAAATTAACAAGCCACTCCTTGACCCAGTTAACAACAGAATGTAGGTTATTTTTGAGATCAGCTGACAATTTGACCTTATCGAACCAATCAGAGGGAAATCCTGTTTAGAGATGATAGCAGAAACCATGGACTGAGTTAAATGCATATCACTCAATAGAAACTCAATTCTAAGTGAAAAGTCAGGCAATGATACTCCAGATGAATCTAGAATAGAATTGGAAGAGAATTTGTGAGTAAAACATTCAGTTTTATCAGTTGAAGTTGTTAACACCTCAAATAGAGTGAAGAGAAGAGGTACAGAAGATTTAGTCTTATTTAACACAATTAAAGATTTTCCAGTAGTCATGTGAACCAAACTTGTTAAAAAGAGACTATATAGTGCCTCATTCTATCAACAAAGCCTCTTTGAGGATATGTTTACATTTACCATGGACAAACAAATAGGTGTGTTATAATCAGAACTAACATGCTGGTACACACAGAAAAAGTGATTCCTGTGGGCTATAGCAGCTGAGAAAATTGCACTTCTTTCACATTTATTGAACAGGAGTGTAGGTTTATCCCTTGTTTCCTTAAAATATGGTTTACTAGTTTTTCTTCTATGGTCTTAATGATTTAACAGTTAACTTTTTGATGAACTGATTCATTAGTGGCTGTGACTTTTCGTTATGAGGATAATGGGTTGGCAATTTCCTGATTGCTGCACTTGACTGGTAATAAGAAGCCCAAACTCCTTGGTGACACTTAGAGAGGCTTCTCTGATAAACAGTTGAATAAGATCAAGATATTTTTAGTGCAATGTCATGCATGTATTTCCAGTGGACAACCTGAGGCCATATTATGCTTTAGCCTTAGCTCCTTTCTGGGAAGTCTGTATTGCCATCAACGATAGTGATAATTATTTTAGCTTTTTCTTAAAACAAAATCTTATGACAGATACAATGAAAAGAAATACAAGTAAACCAGTATATTGATGAATCATATTTGTTATATTTTAACATTATTTTGATTTTAATCACAATTGATTTATGGCAACATAACCTTGAAACACCACTTCTCATACAATCACCAAAGTTAAGCAATGAGCCAGATGAGTACATAGATGGGTGACAGATTGGGAATACATTGTGCTATAATGATACAGGATATTTACAGACTAAGATGAATTTAGGTTTCATTAAAGCTAATTAAAATTTATAAGAAAATAAATAAAACAACTTACTTCCTCCCAATCGTTTCCGCATTTCTCCATAATGAATCAAACCATAAACTTCTAATGCATGTTTCTTAATACCTGAAATTGAGAAAAAAAAAAAAAAAAAAAAACTTTTACAACCGATTCAATGGTTACATAAGGAAGAAAATTATGACATATATAACACTCCAAAAATGTTATAGAGTTTCTTTCAGATCAGTTTACTCATATTAGTTGTTTTTTATCTCAATGTTTCAATCAGAAAGTACAGCTGGCAATACATTGCAATAAAGACAACAAAGATGAGGAAACTGGTCTGAATGAATCAATGTATAATAGTAAGAACACCTCATTTGAGAAATTCAGATAGAAAGAAGGCCTGAGGGTAGAGTGACCAAAATGTTATAATAAAGACAACAAAGATGAGGAAACTGGTCTGAATGAATCAATGTATAATAGTAAGAACACCTCATCTGAGAAATTCAGATAGAAAGAAGGCCTGAGGGTAGAGTGACCAAAATGTTATAATAAAGACAACAAAGATGAAGAAACTCGTCTGAATGAATCAATGTATAATAGTAAGAACACCTCATCTGAGAAATTCAGATAGAAAGAAGGCCTGAGGGTAGAGTGACCAAAATGTTATAATAAAGACAACAAAGATGAGGAAACTGGTCTGAATGAATCAATGTATAATAATACCAACACCTCATCTGAGAAATTCAGATAGAAAAGATTTTTAATATATCAAACCAATCATCAATAATTTTAATTATTGATGATTTTTAATATATCAAACCAATCATATAATAATTTCAAAGATTTTGACAAATCTTTCAAAAAGTTATAAGATTTTATGTAGAAATCACTTAATATTTACTGATTATAAGTTTGAAAAGACCAAGATTTAAAATTAAAACTTAAGTTTTTTTTAATAGGATTCCTTAATTGCTGATATTTACAATGGATTAACTTTCTACCACATTTCAAAAGGTAGACAACTTACCATCTTTCATCTCTATGTATTTAGAAATTTTATGCCAAGTTCTGTAGTAAAAATGACGGACTTGTTCTTTATTTTTGATCATTATTGCTGGAGCTCCTTTTTTCTTATACTTCTGGGCAAAATTATTCTTAATGGCATCAAAATTTCTTCCACACTAAACAAAAGAAAAAAGTTACAAACTGTAAAAAGTAAATATAAAAATGTAACAAAAATATTCAAATAGAATCTTTCATATTTTTAGTTATAACATTATGATGTATTAAATGTATTAATTTTTACAAACTTACTCTAAAGCTTATTTCATGTAACACTAAAAACTAAGACTGCAATAAATTTCTTATATTAGTACCACACACCGACAGTCAATAGAAATTTTGTTAAGGTATGGTTTGAACAATACTCCTCACAACTCTAGAACTTTTCAGAGAATTCTTGCAGAGTAAATGGCAGTTTTCTGGAAGTCTACATTTTTGCTCTAAATTCCAATTCTCCCTAAGAGCTTTTTCAGTTTTCCGAGTTGTGTTTCAAGTGTGCCCATTACTAACAGGAATTAGATCAACATTCATGTTCCATAGTTTTGCCAGATCCTGAGCCAAATCCTGGTATTTTTCAATCTTTTCAGTTTCTTTGGAGACCATTCTTGTATCTTATAGAACAGCAATGTCAATAATTTGACATTTACTATCTTCCTTATCTATAATAATAAATTTGGGTCTTCATGCTTCAGTGACATGATCTGATGATCTGTCTGGAATAAGAAATCCAATAATATATCTACAACTGTGTCTGGCTGATGTTCATATTATTAAAAGTATTTTTTATGCAGACTTTTACTCAAAGTCTTTTTTCATGTACACATCTAAGCACTCCAATAACAATGTCATTATCAATATTATTAGTACATTATATTTCAGATGTTATAATGGCAGATACAAGTACTGAAATGTTGAGACATTAAAATGTACCAGAAAGGTGTTTCCTGAAAATTGATAACGTGAAAAGAAACAAGACTATATCTGACAGTTTTTAACCAAAAGCTGTTGAAAAGAAATGTATTTGAATGACTATCAGCCATCAAATTGTGTCTTATTATTATGCTTTAAAACACAAAGAACCCAACCACTAGCACTTGAAAATTTTCAAAACAAATACAATTAACAAGACACATAAAATATAAGGCATTATATAGGCTGAAAAAAAAAATATGTAATTGTACAAAAGGAATTGAAATAAAAAAAAAAAGATTAAAAGAAAATATACTCTAATAATTTCACATTTACTCTTATTACATAGATATTCAAAGTTTATTATTATTAATGCCAAAGTAAGGAACTGTTTGAAGCATTTCTTATGGTCTTGAATTTTATGATAAATGTTAAAAAAAATGACGCAAAATAATTTTTATGATAAGCAGATAAACAGTCTTGAAATCATATGATAGTTTCAAGTTAACATAATAAAATGAAATGTAATTTTATGGAATACCTCATTTAAGGCTTGAAAGAAAGTACTTTTCTCATCCACTGTCCATAATTCCCATTGCCTTTTCTTGGCTTCTGGAGTTGCTGTTTTAACTTCTTTTGCTTAAAAAGAAAAACAATGATTTATGTTTACTTTTGTAAAAGTTGTTAAAGAATGTAAAAAGTATTGCTTTATATAATTATATTTTTGTTTATTTTTATTTTTAAATAATTCACAATATTTGTACAGATCATAATATGATGATTGTAAAGATTAGTAGTTTAGTACACAAGTGTGAGTATTAAACTCATTACAACACAAATGACTTGCAAGAAGTCTATGTAGACAAAACCTTTTCATAGAACATTTAGTGAATGAACTGAATAGATATAATAAATATAACTGTTTAACCAACTCAGGGTAATCATGTACCAATTTACTACTACGAATTAGTAGTGAAACATCACAATGACATCATGTAAAATTTATGAAATTCATGACATCAGTAAATTAGGCTGTAAAGCAAGACTTAACATTATCACACTGATTTATTCAAACTGTATCTTCATTTCAGTTGTTTTAGTCATACTCTCAAGCCTTCATTAAGTATCTGTCATTTCATAACATTCTGGGAATTATAAATTGAGCCCTTTATCCATAAGGAATAGAAGGTATGAGCAGAATTAGAACATTTCATGAATTGAATAAAAAGAGGTTACCAAATATGACAAACAATTTAAAATTCAGAAGATACAATAGCTGAAAATTATGATGTTAGCAATGAAAATGAGAACATTAACCCAAATAAATCAATATATAATAATATGACATCTCAAAAATTCAGATATGAAAACACAGGTATTTTTTTTACTTGTTTTTTGATAGTATTAAGGTTGAATCTTTACAGAGATTAATTAAAGAAAAAAATTGTAGTTACATCATTTAGAATGAGGTATCTTATGCATTTTACCATGAAATTTTGTTAATGTATCTTTTGTAGCTTCTAAAAGATGTTAAAATGTAGGTTTATTTCCCCAAAAAAACATTGCCACAGTTTTATATCCAACATTTGAAAAAGTAGATTCATACTTGAAGGATTCAAAACTTTTTTTTACATGTGTTTTTGTTAATCAAAGAAAAATTGTCCAGGTCTTAATTTCACATGTCAACTAAATAACTTGAAACATTAAAAGGAAGTCATTTTTCAAAATATTGTATTAAGAAATAGGAATGATTACTATCTTTCAAGCACCTTTTGTTATTGAGCAAATGCTGAAATATTTTACTATTATTGATGTCAATGTACAGTTTAAATATCAGGAGAGTTTTTGAAAGACAATGTATATTTTCTTTATTTTAATTATATTCAATTATATTTTACTTAAATATTTTACAAATTTCTTATAAGTATATTCCAGAATATTGCATGTTTTCATCCCAAAGTAATGCAGACTTTTTTAAAAGTATAATTGAAAGGAACTGGACAATGTAAAATAATACATTTGACTGAAATCAACCTAAGCATTTAATAGAGTGTATGAATAAAAAATACACATTCATTTCTATGTTGAATATGCACTTTTAATAAAGTTATCTGAGTTGAGGTATTAATGCTAGTAAAAAAGACAAAGTTATTAATTTGGATATAAAATGAGAGGGAATAATGATTTGCATGAAAGATGATAAAAAAAAAAGAAGGAAAACTAAGAATAGTAGTTAAGAATTAAAATTTTCAAAGCAAAAACAAAAAGAAAATTTGCCAAATTAACATAATTAAAATTTTCAAAAACTTAAAAATTTAAAAAGGAAAATTAATCTACAATGATTTAAACAAAATTTTGGAATCAAAGACTTGAACACAAAAAATGTTTAAACCTACAAATAAAAGTTTCAGAGGAAAATAAACAAAGCAAAAGAAACTCAAAAGTCACTGCCAGGCTTTCAGAAATGTAAGTATAACTGACATTCTCTGCTAAGAAAAAAATTGTGCAGCATATTTTATGCATAAATGTTTTAAATGTTAAATATGCATAGAAAATATTACAGACCATATTTTGGATATAACTCATATGAAATATTACATAATGTATCTCCTCAGATAGAGTTTACATGAAAGGCAATCAAAAGATTGTTGCTAATATTGTCCAAATGTCACTATGCAAATTAACATACAGAATTTACCAGCACTTACAGAAGCACAATCATCAAACACTGAAACCAAATCTTATAGTAACCTTAAAATTTTCTTTGTTATGAAAGATTATGCATTTTGGGATGTATCTACATCCTACCAAAGACCATTTGTTTTGAGCAATCATACATTTAAGTCCATATTTGATAGTATGCATATATACATACAGATATTAACTTTTATCACTCTGTATGTGACTTCATTTGCTGTATAAAATGTTTATCCTGCCACTGAAGGTGACACTGATCCCTGAACAATAATATTTGAATTTCATAGTTGTGTTATCATATCCTGCTATGGCAACAGAAAACAACTTTGAGTGAAATGAACATTAAGGATACTGCAATTGAGAAGCCTTGAAAAACAATGCAGTGGAAAGGGAAGTAATATTAATAATGCAGCATGCCAAACATTAAATTATCTATAAACCAAATAAAACCTACATATAACTTGCCAGAGATGGAAAAAAGATTTTGCATGTCATATACAGAGTCTATCAAAAATACATAAACACACAAAATTCCACTATAAACATTTGAAATATGTTTAGCAAGATTTCAGTGGCTTCATAAAAATATGATGTGCCCATCAGCAGAAAGCTCAACCTTTATATCAGCCTATATAGATAAACTCCTGACATGCACTGACTATTTGACTGACGCATAGTAAATAACTGAAATAATTGTTCAGTTTGTGGTTGAATAAGAAAACACAAAGATCATGCAATTTAGCTTTCCATGACATGTCATGACAAATAGAAGTACAGTTTATGAATCAAATGTTCTGAAATCTCAAAGCTAATTTTTTGTTTTTTTGTAGATTGTGTATAACAGCCTATCACCTCCAAAGTAATGGTTTGGTCAAGAGAGTTCACAGGACTATAAAATCTGCTATTAAAGTCCCAAAAATAGAGCCTTATTTATTGTCCTTGGAATACATACAAGGTCTAACAGCTGCGATTTTCTATGTAGTTACAAACATGTTCATATACTTCTTCAGTTGCTAATTGATACTACAAACTGTAAAACAGTGTTATATAAGACAAGGTTGTTATTAAATATGGGATGAGATTTGTATGACTTTGTCAAAATATAAGTCCTTTTTTCCAGACAAAGGATAAAATTTCTTTTAGATCAAATTAGGAGACTTTTGGAAGCACCTTATTCAAGCTATTACCAAAAAATCTTTAAATATTTCCTAATTAAAAATACTGGTAACAGCAATAATCCTGTTTCTGTGGACATATTGAAGACTTACATAGAAGAAAACAGCTAAAAAGAAATTAACCCTGTACAAGAAAACAAATAATTCATGCAAAAAAAAAAAAAAAAAAAAACACACAGTACAATGGAAAATGATTTTTACATCAAAATAAATAATGTCAACTAGAGAGGAAACATGATTTTTATTATGTTCTGCATTTTTAGAAAAAGAAAAGAACTTTTGTAGTCATCATAAAAAAAGAAGATAAATTATCATCAACAAAATCAAAGTTGAAACCGAAAACTACTTTAAAATAATAACAGAATTATAAAGAAACAAGTTAGAGTACTGATTGATTAATTTTTAAAATTTTAGAATTTAAACTTTTTAAGGCAATTTATTTTAATCGGTCTAATGAAAAATCTTTTTAAATTATAAGATTCACATTAGAAAAAACTGAGCTAAACTACTCCACAAAAAACTCAAGATTTTTTTTTTTTTTTTTTTTTACAAACTCTCAGAAATGTAAATGTCCCTTTCACATTCTCTGCTTTAAAAAAAAAAAAAAAAAAAAAAAGTACAATAGTGTTTTTTTTTGTCTATAGTGCAAGATTACTTGTTAAAACATTAGTGGATACCCGTATTTGAGTAGACGCTCCGTTTTATTTTAAACAGTATTTATTTCGTCTACCAGCCTGCACTCTCGAGATAACTCATTAAAAAAAAAAAAAAAAAAAAAAAATGCTCTGTGTTAGAGACTGTTAGGATTCGAACCTGCGTCCCGTTTTCAGAGTATCCACTAAAAAAAAAAAAAAAATAAAATAAAATAATAGCGTTCGAACTTGGACAAAAATGTCGAATTAAAAAAATAAAATCTGTTAAAGTTTTTTTCTTTATTATTATTTATGATGCTGTTCAGTGAAAGAACGTCAAGAAATTAAAATACCCAAGAAGATAACCAAAGAATCACACTTTTGATTTTACAAGCATTCAGTGAAACAAGGCTTAATTGAAGATGCCACAAAAATGTCAGATAATATTCAAGTGAATAAAATAGTTAAAAAAAATATATCAACTTTTTCCTTTTTTTTAACACTTACCAATTTTTTTGGCAGGAGATCCTGGTGGACTCTGTTCTCTTTTCAATCTTTTAACTCCTCGTGTTCTTGTAACCAAAGTCATACTGGTGTTGTTTGAAGTGTTGCTGCCTATAGTAGTGCTGACATTATTAGAGGATTTGGTTCCTATATTTCCAGAAGCAGCTGCAGTAACACTGATACAATACCCTGTACCATCTTCAACACTTGGCTGTAGATCTGCTTTTGATTGTTTACCTAGACGTCTTTCATTGACATTCGGATTGACGGACAAGACAGAAATGTGGCTGCTTGTCGAATTATTTGTTTGGTTGCTATTATTATCATTACCGCTTGTCGCCCCTTTCAATGAACCCTTCTCAGTTGTACTACTGTCGATTGTCACTCTGCAAGGAAATGCCCCACACAACATAAAAGTAGGTAATTAGCACAGTAAAACAGACGTTCACATATTTTTTTTAGTTTATTACTATTAAATGAATGCTTTATTTAATTTAAATGATTAATAGTAGATTAATAAAACTATAGTGATTGATAACATTCAAAATGGCTGCCCCCCAGGTTTTTTTTCTTTTTCTTTTTTTAAATGTTCCCTAGTTAGGGCGAAAAAATAAAAGGTGCGACTGTTTACGATAGAGTGTAGTTCTTTCAACATGTTACGTGTATGTGAATATAGAAAAAAAATCATTTAAAAAGTAAAGCAAGATTTAGACAAAACAAATAATAGGTAATTTTTTGGTATATCCCAGCAAGTACACATGTCTTTGAAACATAAACAATAAAAGAGAAATTTAAATTTATGAACTAACAGTAACACTGACACTTCGTCACTTAGTTTAGTTAGCAGCATTTACAAGCACACTGCACAAAAGACAAAGAATGATGAAAATAATAATTGTAATCGCTAAAGATGATAAGCTGAGAAAGATATACTATTTGTCAATTCTTTTAGCGATGTTTAAAAAAGGAAATATTGTTGACGGTGTAAAATGGCGGTAGGTAGGGCTACTTACTACAAACAAGTCTTTTTTCTTCTGATATTTAATTTATGCTATTATTTACTTCTTAAGAAAAATATAAAGACTAAATAAATAACCTACCGTAAAGATGATGGTTCTTGTCCGACACATTCTCCTTGATGACTTTTACTTCGAGTTCCAATACCCATGACTGTTAATAACCAGACTTCATTCCAGGATTAATAATAATTATTATTATCCGACCTGGCCCGTGAATTATTTTAACTTTTCAGTACTATTTTCCTAGCCTGTTGGTCGACCGTGTTTTAAAGTTGTTAGGGAGAAAAAGAAAAACTACTATAATTATTTTAGAAATTACCGAATAATACATTAGAAAAAATAAATACATCAAAAATTTAAAAAAAAAAAACGCAAAATTTGGTTCTCAAGTACAAGTTCTTTTTAGAGAGAGAAAAAAAAAAAGAAGATATGGAAGAAGAAGTGTATCGACAGACGTTATAAACAAGGGGAAAAAAATCACTGAAAACTCTATATAAAGTTGTTTTAACTGAAAATAACAATAAAAGGAATTGTTTTTTAAAAACGAAAAATCCGTGATGGTTCTTACCCTGGTGAATAATAAATAAACACGAGAGGAAAGGAAATGTCACCCTAACACTGAGAGTAAGCTCTCTTGTTTGAAGTTGTCTATGATGTACCTCACCCTGACTTAACACTTTAACAGTACTATTAACACTTTGATTTTTGCCTACTTATTCTAAGTCTTAAAAAATACCGTAGAACAAATGGTTTTGCTTTTTTGTTCTTTTCTTTTTTTTATTATACTGCCGGAAGTGCTCACAACCATGCCTCAAATTTAAAAAAGAAAAAGAAAAATTGCAAGTTATTTCTGAATCAGCTCACTCACACAAGTTCTGCAAGATTCCCGCTGAGAAATAATATCAATTCAAATGAGCCAATTAGAAAAATACTAGAAAGTATTTTTCACCAATCATACGGTTCAAATAAAATTTCAAAAAGTAATTTAATTTTTTGGAACTAAAGGCTTTTTAGTTACAGAAAATTAAATTCAACCAGTGTTCGTTCAGTTCCACAGAAGAGAGCGCCACTCTTTATGAAAATTCGTAATTCTTACTGTACCGTTATTTATTGCTGTAAATTTTGTAAAAATTAGTGTAAAATTACGGTAATTGTGACACAAGGCCAAAAAGTGGGAAATGGGTTGAGGCTAATCCACGCTAATTATCCTATACCTAGCTAATCAGATCCACGATCAATCCATGCAAGAATTCTTACTCTACCTGCACCATACACTTAAACAAATACTTTTATATACTGATTCACTAAGCGTAGCTTAGATGCGTCACAAGACCGCAAGTATGGAATACTCAGTGAGGATCAATCTCACTTCTCAGTTGTAACTTGTAATTAACCCGCGAAGCAAGTTTGCTAGTCATTATTACACAATATCGAAGTGGCTGTCAAGTACTTTTACCAACCTTACTATCACTTATTTCTTCGCAAGTAAAAGGCATTTATGCACAGAAAAATCCAAATGCCACTGAAAAATAAGGGTTCAAAATATGTCATAAGAAGGCAAATATTATGAACCCATTTTCCATCACATGATTAACCTTTTCATTAACTAGTAACCTGAGAATGAAAGAGAATGAAAATAATTTAGTGAGGAGAAAGGACAATAAAAGAATAGGTTTTAGAAAGACATGAGATGGCGATAATGCCGCTAAGACTGGGAGTGAAAGAGAATGAGAAGAATTTAGCGAGGACAAAGGATAATAAAAGAACAGGATTCAGGAAGGCAGAAAATGGCGATTGGCGTTGCATTTAAATTTTTGAGGATTATGAGGGTCAGGGAAACAAAAAACGGAAATAGAGTTCCACAGACGAGAAGTGCGAGAAAAGAAACTATAGGAATAGAACATGCGGTTATAGCTAGCTATTTCAACAGTAAACCGGTAAGGCCTAGTTGCCAATCTAATAGTTCGCTTAAATCCATGCAGTCAATGAATGCTCATCAGAACAATTCCTATGGAAATATCTTTAGATAAAACAAAGTGAAGCCATGGTACAGCAGTGAGAAAGTGACTAAAGTCGAGATGCCAGGTTAGGACTGTTTGGATTTAACAAGAATCTCTAGATATATCGCAGAAGCACCAGGTCAAATATGGCAGCAATATTCAATGCACCGGCGAATGATAGATGTATAAATGTGCAATATGGATTATAACGAGAAAAACTGTCTGGCACAACAGAGTGAAAATGTTATAACAGAAAAGATTTTGTTGGGCAATTTTCAATGCAACATAAATTAAATACCGTAGATTTCCGCGTATTTCCATGAAGAGTGAATATTCATACAACAGATTAAATGATCTGACACAAAATAATATTAAAAAATATTTAAAAGAAAGGTAAAAGAGTTCATTGCTCACCAAAGGGATATACAGTTTGCATACGTCCAAAAGTAGACGAAGCAAGATAGTTTAAAATACTTAGTTTTCTTCGATTGTTGAAATAAAGTTCTTTGAAATACTAAGTGCTTGGTTAAGGCCAGTAATGCAATTAGAGAGTAAATTAACACTGACGAAAATCTAAACGCTGGACTCGTAAACAGAAATGAAACTTTTCACATGATTTCGGACATTCTTCTCTTGTTGATCTATATTAAAAAAAAAAAAAAGGATTTCGCATAGGCTCGATATTTTCTTTTCTTTCCTTTTCTAGGCTCAACGGCTAATTCTTGTGAAAAGAAAATTTTACATAGTTACGCGAATTTTTTTTCGTCTTTTTCTCAGCTTGCTGGCCAATCTCTGTGAAGACAAAGTTTTCATTGGTTCAAAGAAACTTTCAAATAAGCTCACGAAATTGTTTCCGTCTTTTTCCTCATCTCGCCGAATTTGAAAAGAGTAGGTAAAGGAAGTTATTATTATTTCGTACGCACCACAGTCTAAGTTAAACTCGAGAGTTTTTTGAGGGTTTTTTTTTTTATTTAGACTTTGAATGAAGTTAAAGTTAATTTTCTTCTTGCCTTATCTACTGCAGCCTTAACGTTAATTGCTTCCCCTCCTTCCGTCACTGTTTCTTTCTTTTGTATTGGTTTCCTTTGTCATTGGTATCTTTTTACCATGCCCTAGTGTTATTAGTTGTGGCTGTTTCTAACACATGACGTTCTATCTTAAATAAAAGGCCCCGTATTGTATTTATAAGGCACAATGAGGAGGTCGTTATAGCTAAGCATATGCGCTGATAGTCTAGCACAGTAGTTCTTAAACGGTGCGACGCACCTCAAAGGTGCAGTGTAAGAGGATAACAGGTGAGGTGGAATGATTGAAAGACAATCAGAGATTTAGAAACAGTTTTAAAAAAATCATATGCCAAAAATAAATATAACTTCAAAATTTAAAATACTTTTATGGATTACTTGTAATTGCATGCATGAGCCCCAGTATAAATTCTTATAAATAATTATTGAATGATTTTAACATTTTGATATTTTTGCATTATATCAAGTATTAAGAATATAGTAACTAGTGTCCGCAAATTGGAGCAGAGTGTTATCAATGATAATGTTCTTACTTCGAATTCATTTAACCATCTCTCTGTTTTTATTTTTAAATCTACTTTTTAGCACATAAAATTTGCTGAGGCGCGAGCAAATTTTAATTCCGAAAATGCGGCCTAGAGAAAAATGCTTGGGAACCACTGGATACGCTGATTGTCCAGTATTCTTCTCTGTCTCGTATATTCACTTTATTCCACAAGGGTCGATGACCAATTTTTTCCTTCCGTAAATGATCAATCATGTCTGATTTCATTCTTACAGCCTAATTACGGCTTTTCAATGTTCCTTCAGCAGTTTTACTTTTAGGGGTCGGTCGATTTCACCTTTGTGTTCTCAGCCACAACTTCAAGGGATGTAATACACTCAGTTCTTGGTTATGTTTTCCTCAGTGTAAGATTTGTCTCGACAAAGATATTTTCGTGAGGTTAAACTGCTTCTGAATATTGTTATGATATTGTATGAAGCGCAAATCTTCTGAATCATTTCCGGTACGTCTTTGACGTAGGAGACACGTGAAGTATTCCGATTCCGATTATTCTATTGCTGCAGAAACTGATTTTGTGCTTGCAGAATAGTTGTTACTCTAAATATGCTTGATGTTCATAATCTTCTCTCGGTGGTATTGTGACATATCTTCTCCGAGCGATTAGTATGCCTAGGAAGGCTAGCTGAATTTTTAGGTTACTCTTTCATTGCGAACTGGATTAAAGGTCTTCTTCTTTGCTCCGCGTCCCATTAGGACATAGGAGATCGTGGCTCTCTACAACTTCCTACCTTGTGTGGCTGTTAGCAGTTTTTATCATTTTGCTAAGGCACCCAATCCCTGTTCCAACATCCATTAACACAAGCTCGTCGAGTAAGTGGTTCACTGCATTCTCCATCTTTCTTTCTCTCAATATGCCCCGTGAATGTTAAGTTTTCCAAGCCTTACGTTCACATTATATGTCCAAGGAATTTCAGCTGTTTTTTCTAATTCTGATTAGAAGTGTTCATTCTATTGTCATTTTCTTTAAAACCCTTGTTACTTACTCACTTAGCCCATGGGATTCTCAGTATCCTTCTCTAGAACCATATTTCCGTTGCCTCTAATTTTCCACCAATCTGTAGGGAGATTGACTAGCATTCACTGCCATATAAAACGCAAGATATCACATTGCAATTCATCACTCTTTTCTTTGTTTCTAACGATTTTTTTCTGTTCTCGGCTCTTTGCTTATATTTTGGAAGGCATTTTTCGCTAGTCCAATTCGTGTTAGGTTTTTGGTGTCGTATTTTCCATCCTCTGTTAAAATGCTTCCCAGATATTTAAACTTCTGTACCTATTTGATGTTTATATATCGATACTGAGTTCAAATGGTCCAGCAATATGCGCACATCTTCCTCGTAATACCAGGATATGAAAGTGTCATCTATATATATCAGGGATTCTCACTTTCTTCCACATGGAAAATTCTTCCACCGCCCACCTTTATAGCAAATATTCAAAAGTATACCAAAATTGCTTGGAGAAAAGTTTGTTACTAGTTCATAAATTGACTTTATGATGTAGTGAAAATTGCGAAAGGGGGGTAACAAATAACGCATGCTTATGCGGTAGCTGCTGTT